GTGATTCTTACATGGAAGATTAGGAGGTGGCTCCTGGCACTTGTCTGTGAGACCCAGGGTTTTGGCCCCCGGCCTGGCAAGTAAAGACAATGACCCGGCTCGTTGCATTATGGCAAGACTATGGTCGGCACAAAACACTTTCTATTGCATGTATTATATGTATAGTACATGGTATTTTGGGGAACTCACTAAGCTTTGTGATTACAGTTTGCTTATGGTTTCAGGCACTTCTGGTTCAAAATGGAAGGGCCCGACTTGATCGCAACACATACACCCATGTTTTCCGTAACCTTGTGATTTTGGGATTGTACTCTGATAACTATTCTATTATGACATAGTTTTAAATGTTTGAGTAAAAGATAATTGGTGTTTTGAACATATTAAAAATGAAATTTTTACCTTGAAATTTTGGGACGTTACAGTAAATTTGTATGATATTTAGATAAGTTTAACTATTTTCTCTTATTTAATCCTTTTAATATACATTAAATCTTTGAAAAATAACAAAAGCTTGTGGAAAATTCTCCAAATTTTTTTGTGAAGGTTATATAATATATAAAAGCTTCAAAAAAATAATAAATGTGATGTTTGAAACTCAGAATCCAATTTTGTTATTTATTTTTGTTTAATAACAATAAAATAAAAAATAATGGTAAATTGTAATAAAAAATTGGTCAAACTTGATGGAAGATGTTGATTTACGGTATAGGTCATCAAGGATTTTTCCTAGAATTGATTAACTAGTGTAAATATTTTATATGCTTTAACACTCTATTTTATTATTATTTTTATATAAAAATAAAGAAAAAATATTTTGAGCTGAAAATTTCCAGAATGCATCTTCATATAATTTACTAACTGTGCAAAATCGTTTTTTCATTTTGGATATCGAAAACATGCCTAAAGGCTCAATAGATTATAGAGAAAAACTTGGTTCTTGTGATTTTGGTAAAAATGTTGATGTCACTTTGAGAATGTTTTTAATATTTTTCACCACTTTTAAGTTAAGATCTTTTTGTCCCTCTGAGCTTATGATACTAGGAGTTCAAAATAATTTTTGAAGGATTTTTAGTGATGATTTACTCTCTTTAACATGCAACATAAAACTAGAACTCCTAAGAAAATAGTTGTTGGAGCAACAATATTATAAAAATAATTAAAAGTCAAAATCTTCGAATTTTTCAAAGATGTCAGATGGGCTTGAAAGATAACTCGAAGCAATACTTTCAAGAAGGAAGAACAAATTTTTGGATAAGAAATGATTGAGTTTTGGCCTTTCAAAGTTGGAGGTTGAAATCTGCCGGAAAGTTAAAAAGTAGAACTGATAAAAATATGACTCAACATCTCATTTTATCAATGATTTCGGTTTCTTTTTCTTGGATTGAGATAAAAAAAACATAATATTGAAAATATTTTGTAGAAAAACCTGTTTCTAACCTTTAGAACTTGCATGCAATAAATCCAAAGTTAATGAATCCTTAAAAAATCGATTTTTGGTGCTATACAAAACTTGCATATGCTCACTTTTGTTCTTGACTTTGGTTTGATAATGGATCGCCACCATTTCCAGAACATGCAACATGTTTTCAGTGGTGATCTACAAACATAAAGATCAAACTATGGTTCCTTGCAAAAGTATATCTTAGATATCGAAAATAGAAGGAGAAAATGACTAGAAACTTGCAAAAATTACTAAGGATCATCAAGAGATGTAAGTTCCTTACCTTGGATTTGTTATGTAGCTTCAAGAACACTAAAATATGGCTGCAAATTGTGGTTAAGGATGGCTTATTTCTAGAGAGAGAGTGTGTGTGTGTGTGTGTGTGTGTGTGGTGTGTGTGTGTGGTGTTTTTAGAGAGAAGGAAGAGAGAAAGTGAAATTTTGTCTCTTTGGATATCACATCTCTCTTGTCCTCTCTTTGGGGTTATACTCCGCCAAAATAGGCCACAAAACTCCAGAAATGTGGGTTTCGTTATGAAAAATAAGATGGCAAAATCTCTCCCGGGTACCTTCCTTCTAAGTCCACTTTTTTCTTGTTTTAAGATGCAAAAACTGCACTCCGAAATGATTGTCAACAGGGAGAAAATGGGGGAAGAGTGTTCAAGTGGAGAAGAGAGGTAATGAGTGAGAGAGAAAGATATAAGAGGGGTTCATGACCTGCCATTTGGAAGAGGAAAGAGAGTGGGATATCTTCCTCTTGAAAGTTGGAGTTTTTATAAAAATAGGTGATTAGATTTTATAAAAACATTTTGGTCCATTTATAAAACTTAAAGGGTTTATTTCATGGGTTTTATGTATCTATTTGTCTCATAAATTAAGTTAATAACACTTTGTTTTCAATTTAATTAATTTATAAAAATAGTTAACTTTTAATTTGATTTTTATAAATATCAACTTTTTGTTTCATATAAACAAAATATGGGTTCCTAATATAAGATTGTAGGATTAGAAAATCCTTAGATTTTAGCTTATAATTTTAGGATAAATGTTGTTGATTTAAATTATATTTTCCACATTTTAAATATTTTAATTTGATATAATAGAGTTTATAAAAATTTCTATGGGATTTTAATGTAAAACTTCATAAATTTAAATTTTTAGGACTTTTTAGGGTTTTGGGATTTAATAAATCTTTGGATATCAAAATAAATTGAGTTTTTGAGACTTCAAATTATTTTTTGGTATTATAACTCTTTTAGAGTTATAAAAATGTTGGAGATTTGTTTTTGTCGGTTTATTGGCATTTTTATGTAGTGATTACGAGATTTAAGTGAAATTGAAGAACCAAGTATACTAGTCCTAGTTTTCAACTTTGACTTAAGTTCCTATGAGACTTGGACCTAATTTCTACTACTAGGTCAAGTGCATGTTGTGTCTACATGAATGTACAAAGATGCTCGAGTCAAAGAATGACCCAAATATGGATAATCACGACATTTAAAGTAGTTGTAGAATTCACATATCAATGTGAAATCTAAGTACACTATCCTTCGATTCTACTTGTTTCCAAGTTTCTAGTATGTTATGACTTAACCTCGAGCTACTAAATCTAGCATATGTCATGCTTATACGTGCAACTTAGTTTATTCATATCTAGAACTGACTCGAATTTTGACAGTTGTCATAACATGCATTCATCATCCTCCACCATCAAAGACGAAACCCTAGCCCCCATTTGAGTGTTCTTTGTGTTTGTCTGTGTTTTTTGGTGTTTTGAGCCTTGGAGTGCATCTTGGAAGAAGAAGGTGGTGAGCTTGTTGGTTGAACGGTTGTTTCTACAACAAATCTTACATTCTGCACCTTCTAGAGCTTGGAGAGGTATTAAGTTCTTACATTTGCGGCTTAATGTTTGATTATGCTTGTTATGGAGTCATTTTATTGGACTTTTGAGCTATAGACTGAGGTTTAGCTTATGTTTGGTTTAGACAGTCTGTTTAGCATATTCTTTGGGTCTATGAGTAGTCGGATTCAACTCTGGGATTCAGGTGAGTTATTTTTATCTATATTATATACTGCAGTATGTATCATTGTGTGCTAAGATGTGGTTAGACTATAGTATGTTGTTAGGAAGTTAGACTTATAGACTGTTACCTATGATGTTGAGTTGTTTGTTTATTTGTATTATGTATATGTCGACATATTTGTGGTGAATTGAGGCGGACCAACTTTATGTGGAACGCCAAGATACTCGGGCCTACCAACTTAATGGTAAAGGTCAGAGAGTTGATGACAACATCAACTAAAGTGTTGTGAGTCTAGAGACTCATTTTCTAGGGTTTATGGCAAGATCAACTAAAGTGTTGTGATCCTAGATACTCAATGTTTGTTCAGGCGGATCGGTCATAGGTGTCGAGAGCCTTAGTGGTATGCTTGTATGCATATTGTTATATGTGGTATCTTGGGGAACTCACTAAGTTTTGGCTTACAGTTGTGTTTAAATGTTTTTCATGTACTTCTTCAAATCATGGGAAGGCGAAGACATGATTGTAGACAAACATAAACAGTTTTATGATTTGAGATTCTACGATGTTGTTCTTTATAACTCTGATTTTGGAATTAATGTCTATGATCTAATGGTTTTATCTTGAACATATCTTTATGAAAATAGGTGTTTATTATATTTGGAAAACAAAAATTTATTTTGAAAATCGAGAGGATACATAATGATTTTCATTTATTCCCTAAAATAGTCCTTATGAAACATTTTTTGTGTGAATGGTTCTTTTAGAGAAAACCTTTCACATCAGTGGTCCTTTTAGTTTTAAATTTATCCAACTATTGGTCCTTTAGATTCATCTATTAAAATTTTCTAGTTAAACCTATGTGAAATTACTTTTTTCCCCTCAATTTTTTTTTTAATTTTAATTATTATCTTTTTTTTATTTAAAAAAGAAATGGACCCACCACTTAGCCCGCTCCCACCTCCTTCTTTTCTTCTCAATTCCTTCCTCACCCTTTCAACCCTCCGAACAAACCACCACCATTTTACCGCTTGCAACAAATCAAAATCAAGCTCAAAACCCAACCTTAAATCAAATCTAGAAAACATACCACAATAAAACATGAAATTAAATATTAGAATCGAAACTAAAGGAGCATCTGATGTTCTTTCAATACAACATGAACACTCTATGGAGATGACAATTTCGTAACCTATCCCGACGACATGTCGTCTCCATAGGGCATGTAGACGACTAGTCATCGGCATAGGCCTGTCGGCATAGGTCAATATTGTCGTCGGCATAGATGTCGTTGGCATAGCTTTCCCTATTGCGACGACTTGTTGTCGGTACAGCTTTCGTCAATCATATTTTAAGAAAAAAATAAAGTTTTATTAATTACATGTGGCGACGACATGTCGTCGCTATAGGTTTAAGCTATTACGATAACTTGTCGTCTCTATAGGTTTTTCATAGTTGTCGATTAAATAGTTATAGCGACGACTTGTCGTCGACATAGCCACTGGTTGTTTTTTTTAGTTTTACAGATTTTGTACATTATCATTCCTGCATTTTTAACAAATCCAAAAACATTGCAGCATATATCAATTTAAATACATTAACTAGGTACCAATTTTCAAATTCAAAACATCAAATTTAAGTTTAATATTACAATAAGTAGTTAATTAACATTGTTCAAAATACTAAAAAACATCACCATCATTATCATCATCGCATTCTTCTTCTTCTCCTTCTTCTTCGGCAAATTGTTGAGAGCTACTTGCTTGTGTATTAAAGTTGAATAGGAAGTTAGGAAATGGTGGTGGTTGGAAGTTCGGAATACATGCCGCCAATGATGCATTATATTGTTGCAAGTATTCTTGCATTTGTTGTGCATCAAATTGAGATTGAGATTGAGACGATTTGGAAGTGGAAGGCCGTTCATTTGAAATTAAACCGAAGTTGGCGGTTGGTCTCCTACCCACCCTGCGAGCATGCCCCCGTCTCGTCCCAAGGGCACATTCTAAACATTCTTCATCGTCTACTTCTCCGCCTTCCCCAACCTCGTTTTGCATTTTCTCATATTCCTCTTGAATTTTCTCCTAAAATAAAGAAAACAATAAACATACATTAATTAAAAAAACAACTGAATTTAAACATTAAAATAATAGTAATATTCCTTAAACAAAAAACTATAATTAATAATAATAATATATTTAAACAACACATTCATTTCGTTTATCACTTACACAATCTTCTTGTGCTCGATTTGTACACCAACCCGAACCTTCTTTGTAGCGCATTTGTCTCAAACCCTCAATATGCTGTAGCTTGATTCCCATTTTATCCTATAATAAGTGAAAAACAATAATTATATTTATACAAATGTTAATAACAATTTTAAATAATACTAATATATTTTACTACCTCTAAATAATGTCGTTGAGCATAGGATCTACATCCGTGAGCACTTGTGTCCGGAAGTTTCGACCTAGTAACTTTATTTTTGACTGACGTGCGTCTGTATTCATCGGCCAAAAATAACAAATCAACCATTTTGTTCCGAGCTTCGGCGGTCCAATCAGTCGGTGGACATCTTCTTGCCCTTTCCACATTATGATATCCACCAACTCTATCAAAATGTGTTTTTATCTGATACTTGCACTCTCGATAAGCTCTTTGCATATCGGATACCCGCTCGAAGGGGTTCCCACAAGTTTGTGCCCCAATACTTATTAAGATCAAAATAAGTCTGCAAAAGGAAAAACATATTTGATTAGTAAAAAAATATTTAATAAGTATAAAATTCAATACATATAAAATATATTGTATACTTACTTCTAGCTCGGGATATAAATCATCTTTGTACTTGGTAGGAACACGACGCCAAGTATGATAATGCAACGATACCTGTGATCCCACCAGATTTGAGATCAGTCTGACAAACATTTGTCCGTTGTCCACGACAAATCGATACGTCCGCCCGGAGATATCAATTCCCACAAACAAAGGCTTACGATTGTTATTTTCATACTCATCGTACAAATTTAAGTTTCTCCCTTTGCCACGCACATTCACATTCTTCATTTGTGCTAGATTTACATATAGAATTAGAAATTTAGAAATTTAAAACTTTAATATATCTAATACTTAACAAATATTATGACAAATATTATAAAGCTACTTATAAAACTTTCATGTAACTTACAAGATTGGCAATCCGATGGTACACCGTGTGCGGCCCCGTATGGAGGTCTATCCCCACCGTCTCCTCCATGTCCCCTTGCGACTTCTTCCATCCGTTTAACAAATATTATAAACATTCAAAATATATAATAAAGCTACTTATAAATAAGCAACATACATATAACAAACAAACAACACAATATACCAAACAAACAACACAATCATACATATACCAAACAAATAACACAATTCTATAGTCATAGGAGGATCAATTTCAATTTCAATTTCATATAAACTTCTATATATATATATATATATATATATATATATATATATATATATGTTGGAATCCTAAGTCGATGAGGACTTGGAGACCAAGCAATCTAATTTATGGAAAGTTTAGTTTATGTCAAGTTGGTCATAAGTTTCCTAGTCTAATACAAGTTGGTTTGTTAGGCTATATATACATGTCTATAATCGAGTTTATGATTATGAGAACAGATTGTAAAAACATCGGTTTTGAGTTAGTTTCCGATTAATTAAAGAGTTATTTTGGTTATTTTGTTTTACATTCTTGTTTTCTAAACTTTAATATATATATATATATATATATATATATATATATATATATATATATATATATACAATTTCAATTTCAATAAAAAAACTAACCTGTTTTGTTCTTCTTGTTGTGATGGACGGATTCCGATTGTCAAAGTTGTTGGTGATCCTCCGGTGGTGACTGGTGGTCATCGGAAATACACAAAATCAGAAAATAAATAAATAAATAAACACAAAAAATCCACCAGATTTGTTACCTATTTGGCAGTGAAGGAGATAAGCTGGAAGAAGGGACGAGTCGCCGGTGGGGAAGGTGTCGGTATGGCAGAAGACGGACGGTGGTGAAGCAAAACCTCTTCACCACCAGTAAACAGCTATAAACACAAAAATCCCCCAAATTCGGGGTAAAAATCTTTATAACACACCAATAGAAAACAAATTAGGAGTACAAAACATGTTACCTGTGTGCTAATCGCCAGTTAAGGAAGGTAGAAAGCGATTTCGGTCGGAGAGGAAACAATATTGCATCGTTGTGTGCAAATGAACCACCGTCTGCGTTTTTTTAGGGTAAACCCCTATGCCGACGACATGTCGTCGGTATAGGGTCCATATAAACGATGTCGTTTTTATTGTTTGCTGAAACAAAACAAAAAAAAAATAAAAACTTGTGCCGACGACTTGTCGTTGGGATAGACCTTTCACGCAGATCGCCACGTGGCATGCCGACGACTTGTCCTCGGGATAGCTTACACAAAACTACGTCGTACTGTATTTCTGGAACATGCAATAAAAATAAATGGAAAATAGATTTTTCGATACCTATCCTGACGACAAGTCGTCGGTATAGACTTTCAGAATACCACGAACAATTTTGTCGTTCCCGCTAGACTTGTAGCGACGACATGTCGTCGGCACAAATATCTTGGTCAAAAGAATTTAGTCAAAATTTTCAAAATGTGTGGCAACGACATGTCGTCAGCATAGCTTGTAGCGACGACATGCATCGTTGGGATAGGTGTCGTCGGCATACCTCTGTATTCTTGTAGTGTTTCTCTCTCCATGGACCACCTGGAAACCAAACAAAATCAGGATGAAATCCCCCAAGTCGTTGCAGTCACCAGCGATGTTATGATCTAGAGTGTCTTTAAGACTTAAGAGAATCGAGATTCATGCATGTGCTGTTATAGAAAAATTCGTTGAGGAAGGTTTGGAGAATGGGAAAAATACGAGACTCACTTCTCCTTCTTGATCATATCACATGTGGAAATCAAAATTAAACATCCAACCAATCAAAATCAAAATCAAAACTCACCATCCCACCAGCCAATACAACCACCAAAAATTTGTTGGCTCCACCTTGAGGTTCATAGCCACCTGCTCCAAGCCATAATGAAGACCTTTCAAATGCTTCATAAGGTGCTTAAGGGTCTTACCCACTTGCAGAAGAATAGAACACCACTGCCATAGATCGAGATGAAACACAAAAAAAATTTGGAGATGAATCAGACATAGAAATCAGAACAAATTGAAAATATTTTTTTTTTCATATTTTCCGCCACCTCTTAAGAAATCAATGGTTAAGAGGCGGTGGCAGGTAGGGAAGAGGAAAGGTAGAGCGACAGTGCAAGAGGGGTGATGGCACATCCACAACCAAAGGAGATGCATAGGTGGTGCTGCCTTTGAGGTGGTGATTTATAGTCCTGATTCACTTTATGTGTGTGTGTGTATTTAGAAAGTAAACGTGAAACATGGGAGTGTCCTTACATGGATATGAACTAAAATAAAAATTCCCAGACGAGTCTCCGGCAGGACTATAGGCTGGTGGTCCGACACAACTTTATGCATCGATTTTTTTAATGAAACCTGCAAGTCATGGGTTAAAGGTTGTGGGAGAAGGTAAAGCTATCATTCATTGGTTTCTTTTAAGCATGAAATATCAACCTGAAAAGTGAGATGAGTGTGATAAGAGGGAGAGAGGGCCCATCGGTTAATAATAAATAAAAGGACAATATAGTCTATTCATTTATATTTAACAGAAAAACGAATAATGTTAGTCATAAGGACTGATTATATGCAAGGTTTGATCTAAAGGGACCATTCACGAAAAAAAAATATCATAAGGACTATTTTAGGGAAAATTGAAAAGCATTAGGACCGTTTGTGAAATTTTATCTAGTTTTAATTAATAACTAATAATTCAATAAAGCGTAAAAGAATGATAAAACGGTCATTAAGAGCTTTAAGAGCATCTCCAACCTACTTCCATTTTTTATTTTTTCTCCTATTACTTCCCCCATTTCTCTCCAACCCTACCCCATTTATTCCCCATTTTGGGGGAAATGAATAGTATAACACCATATTTGGTGTTATACTATTCATTTTCCCCAAAATGGAGATGAAATTTGAGTTGTCAGTTTTAGTCCCTCTTTTTATATATTTATACATTATTAGTTTATTTTATCTAATAATTATAATTTAAATGTATTATTTAATACTTATAATATTGTATTATGTATTAAATTATATTAATTAATTATAAATATAAAGTTTATTTTTTGTTTATCAAATTCATATGAAAATTTAAATACATATTGAAATTTTAAAATACGATAACTAATTTTACAAAAGCTTATAATTATGTGTTATAAATATAATCTTATTTATCTAATAGTATTGTAATGAAAAAAATATAGATTATATATTTGTTAAAACCAAATTAGTAGAAGGGGTATAATTGACAATCTATATAAGTTGGAAAAATGGAATATAGTAGGAATATACTTTTTGGGGGTAAAAATGGGGTAAAAAATGGAGTATGATTAGAGATAAAACACTATTTATCCCATTTTTTACTCCATTTTTAGGGGAAAAAATAGAAATGGGTTGGAGATGGTCTAAATAAACACAAGATGGTCTAAATAAAACCCACAGATAAAGACCATTTTATAAGGGTAAATTACACGAATGGTCCCTATGGTTTTAGGTAGTCTGCGTGGTTGGTCCATAACAACTTTTTTTAACTCGGACCGTCCCTACTTTATATATTTGTTATACGCTTGGTCCCTGATAGACATAAAATGACAAGATTACCCTTATTATATATATTTTTCATTATTTATATATTATTATAAATTATAAATAAAAGATAAATTGAAAATTTTGAAAAAAAAAAACTTAAATAAAAAAAAATGTATATAGTCGTCATCATCCCTTGATACCCTATTCATCTTCTACCCCATTCCATATTCCTTACCAGCTGCATCTTTCCCTCTTCTTTAAACTCAAGAACCCTAATGGACAACTAAACCCAACGCCGCCGGACACCACTTCCAGGCCGCCACCACAGGCCGAAAACCTCAGCAAATCGTCGACCATGCCTCACCACCTTTATACTCTACATAAGCCTCTCTAATCCTCCATCGAGCGGTCATAAAGCGTCGATCTGCACTCTAGAGCCACCTCCGACTTTCGACATCCTCTACCACCTATCTACTTCGCTGGAAACCACTCTAAAGTTGCTATCGGTCCCGACTTACACTCTAAAGTCACGATATTTCTCTGAAACGACAATCATTTGGTTTAAAAAACATAAAGCAGATTGGAAGCGGCCACCAAATTTCTCTCTATGTTTATCTCTTTCTCTCTTTCCCCCCTCTCTCTGTGTCCCCCTCTCCCATAGCATCGACGAAATCCCTGCTTATTGTTGTTGGGAATATTCATGGGAAGGGTTGACAGAGAATCGATGGCCTGAGAGCATCATGAAGGGCTTCACATGTGATATGATTCATTAATCGTTTCAGATGGGGTTTCATCATGAAAGTGTTGGGGTTTCAAACATTTTGATTTCGAATTTTAATTCTGATTTATAGGTTTCATCTGATCTCAATTTCTGATTTCTAGTTCAATATTAATGTCTTTGTTGCTCAACTAGGTTCAGTTTCAATTTTGATTTCTAGGGTTCTTATTTGTGGTGGTGGTAGTGACCGGAGGTTGGTGGCGGTGGTGGCCAAAAGTAATTTTCCGGTGTAGTGATCGGAGGTTAGTGGCGGTGGTGGCCAAAAGTAATTTTCCGGTGTAGTGATCGGAGGTTAGTGGCGGTGGTGGCCAAAAGTAATTTTTTGGTGACTGGACATAAGAAGGGGAGGAGGGTTGGGGGTAGGACTGGGTCACATTTTAATTTATTTTATTGTTTAAATAATTAATAAATAAATATATAAATAAAACATTAATTAAAAAAGAAATGGATGAGGGTAAATTAGTCATTTTATAACGGACAGGGACCAAACGTGCAACAAAAATATAAAGTAGGGACTGTCCGAGTTAAAAAAAGTTGTTAGGGACCGAACACACAGATTACCCTAAAGCACAGGACCATCCGGTGTAATTTACCCTTTTTATAAATAATAAAGAGCACACAGAATTAAAACACATATGTAAATATAATATTCCTTTTCTAAAAGGATATACATAATTTGAACTTATTAATTTCATATAAAAAAGGTCAAGTTGAAATAAATAGCTAAATTTTTTGATAAAAGAAACAGAGAAGAACTTGCCCGCTGTTCTTCAATGTAGCTTTGTCGGGTACCAGTTCTTGCGAGTGGAATGGTGCACCAGAAAGTCAGAAACACATCAAACTCAACCGGGAATGGCGTCAATATGGTCAAACCTATTTAAAAAACAACGGCAGTTAATTTCAGAATTGTGCCAAGTGCTCCCATAAACGCGCATCAAAGTCACAGGAACAATGCCAATAATGTCAAAGATAATCAGAGATATAAAAAAAACAAAGGTAATCATCTCTTTGAAATCGCACATCCAAACACGCCTGCGAATTCCGACCTAGCAAAATAAACAAAATGAAATTCACTCTTTACTGTTATCAATGGATTCCAAGAGTTGAAATCTTAAGAACCCTAAAAAACAATTTACTTTTACCAAGTCAACCTGCATCTTATTTTGTAGTCGATATACCCCACTTACGTTTGACACCCACCCGGCCATCTATGGAAGAAAAAGTAAGACACCAAGGGAAAATATACAGGGACGTGGAAATGGAAATAATATTCTTGAAACTCATTTCTTCTTCTGCAATTCCCTTTGTTTTCCTGACAGAAATGGTAAATATGGTAAATATTTTTCACAGCCTTATGCCTTAATCATATATAACTCGAAATAAAACTAATTAGAGAAGTGAAAGACACATGTAAATAGAAATGTTCCTTGATTTTTAAATTGTTCAGATAAGTAATTTTACAGCTTCTTGAGTCAACAAGTGGTTTGACTTTCTCCACCGAATTCCAAAAGTTTTCAGGCCACACCCATCACCATCTCACATTATCTTTTATCTTCATAACCTGCACTCTTATGATGATCATCTGGATTCATCTCATCCAAATCTCTTCGTAATCGTTTCGCATAAACTTTTTCCCAACAAAGATTTCATTTTATAGGATCGATCCTTCATTTCAATGGAGTCTTCTTCAACTTTATCCGTTCACAAGAGCTTTAAGTATGATGTGTTTTTGAGTTTCAGGGGAGAAGATACTCGTAAGAACTTTGTTGATCATCTTTATCATGCTCTGCAGCACAAAAGTATTCACACATACAAGGACGACGTGAGAATCAAGAAAGGGAAAAGAATAAGTGATGAGCTCATAGGATCCATTAAAGATTCAAAATTCTACATCATTGTTTTCTCCAAGAACTATGCATCTTCATCTTGGTGTTTGGATGAGCTTGTGAAGATAATGGAATGCCACAGGACGAAGGAACATACCGCTTACAACGTCTTCTATGACGTAGAACCTTCTGATGTCCGGAAACAAAGCGGGGCAGTGGGAGAAGCATTTGCAGAACATGAAAAGAAAGGGGCTGCTGGGAAATGGAGACAGGCTTTGAAAGAAGCAGCGGATCTGGGTGGATGGGTGTTGAAAAATACCAAGGATGGGTAATTCCTTGATTAGAACTCTGCAGTTTTCTAGTGTTAGTTTCTTTTCAATGGTTTGTTTCTTTCTGATCCAAGTTTACCCTGGATGTAAAAGGCTTGTAAATGGCATCTTAGATTGTAGAAATTTAACTCAAGTTGCACGTTTTGTTAAAAGATTAAACTTAAAAATATGATTATACTAACTATATATGTTATTTTTCATATAGGGTTGTATGTTATAAATCTCATAGGGGAGTAAACTAATTGAATCTTCTTTACAATACAGGCATGAAGCTAAATTCATCCAAAAGATTGTTGAGGAGCTTTCACTGGAGTTACGTTCTATTAGTTTCAACATTGATGAAAATTTAGTTGGAATGGAGTCCCGGATCAATGATGTTTTATCATCTTTAGGAACCGGTACTGATGATGTTCGTATGATGGGGATTAAGGGGATCGGAGGTGGTGGGAAAACAACTTTGGCCAGAGCTCTTTTTGATCAAATATCCTTTCAATTTGAAGGTAAAAGCTTCGTCGAGAATGTGAGGGAAGTTTCAACTGTATCTTTCTTCGGTTTGAAGTCTTTGCAAAATCAACTCCTTTCAGATGTTTTGAATGATAAAAAAATCAGAATAAAAGATGTTTCTGATGGAAAACACCAGATAAAAAGGATGATGCGTCATAGAAAAGTTCTTGTTGTTCTAGATGATGTGGATCACAAAGACCAGCTTGAGGCTTTAGCTGGTGAACCTAGTTGGTTTATGCCGGGAAGTATAATTATCATCACAACAAGAGACAAGCAAGTGTTGGTAGCACACCATGTGAAGTTAATTCGTGATGTCAATTTGTTATCGGATAAGGAAGCAATTTGCCTCTTCAATAGGTATGCTTTTGGGAGAGAGATTCCGGTTCAAGAGTATGATGAAAATCTAACAAGCCAAGTTGTACGTTATGCCGCTGGTCTTCCGTTAACGATCAGAGTTTTGGGTTCGTTTCTTTGTGGTAAAAATGAGCCTGAATGGAAAGATGCCCTAGAACGACTAAAAACAATTCCGTTAAATGAGACCCTGAAAAAATTGGAACTAAGCTATATTGCTCTAGAGGAGGATTACAAGGAAATGTTTCTAGATGTTGCATGCATCATGAAAGGTTGGCGGAAAGACGATGCAATCAAAGCGCTTGAAAGCTGTGGGTTTCATGCTATAAATGGTTTAAGAGTTCTTGAGCAAAAATCTCTCATAACTATTCACGATAATTCTGATGATTACAAGTATGTGAGCATGCATGACCATATTGAAGAAATGGGCAGAAATATTGTACGTCGCTCGCACCCGGACAAACCTCACAAACATACCCGATTGTGGATCTACGAAGAAATTGAAAATATATTGGCTAATGATTTGGTAAGGATTAATTTTTATTTGTAAGTTAGGAAAAACTAACACAATTTCATTTGCTACAAGTTACAAGATTCATGGTGGCCTCTTTTGGATTACAGGGTACTAAAGGGACAAGGTGCATTCGGCTTGATACTCAAATTCACGACCGGAAATTTGATATAAAAGGACTTGGAAAGATGAAGGAACTTAGATTTCTTTACGTGGGAGCTGTTCGTTCTCGGCATTGGGATTCTAATATAGTCAACCCCGAATTTCCAAATGCTTTACGATACTTGAGTTTGATGTATTACCCATTTAGGTCTTTACCCATAACATTTCAAGCTAATAACCTTGTTGCACTTAAGATGGTTGGCAGTGAAATCATACAACTTTGGGAAGGGGGAGAAAGAAAGGTAGAATTATGGTTGGTTGATTGTTTTGCATGAATTATTATATTGCTATACATAGATTGCTTTGTTGTTACACTAACATTCATCTTGCTTTTTTTTTTTTAATCTTTAGGTTCTTAACAAGCTGAGAATCCTGGACCTTAGTTCTTCAATGTTGACTACCCTTGACCTTGGACTTGCTCCAAATCTTGAGAAGTTGGATCTTGGAGAGTGTTCTAATTTAGTAAAACTTCACATGTCTGTTGAATGTTTAAAGCTAGTATATGTCAACCTCCGAGGTGCAAGGTTGATCACGAACCTTGACCTTAGGCTGGCACCAAATCTGGAAGAGTTGATTCTTAGCTTTTGCAACAATTTGGAAAAACTTCAGATGCCCGATAGATGTCTAAATCTCAGATACTTACTACTCGAGCGTTCAAAGTTGAGGACCTTTGACATTGGGCTGAATCCAAATCTCAGCAAATTAGATCTTGGAGATTCTCATTACTTGGAAGAACTTTACATGGGGCATGAATGTCAAAAGCTCGCCAATCTCAACATCAGTCATTCGAAGTTGAGGACCCTTAACCTTGGGCTTACTATGAATCTCGAGACGTTATATCTTCGACTATGTTGTCATTTGGTAGAACTTCACATGCCCATTGAATTTTTAAAGCTCAAATACATCAACCTTGAAGGTTCAAGTTTGAGGACCCTTGATCTTGGGCTCGCTCCAAATCTTGAAGAGTTGTATCTTGTTGAATGCAACAATTTGGAAGAACTTCACATGCCCAATAGATGTCTAAATCTCCAATCTTTACGACTTACTAATTCAAAGTTGAGGACCCTTGACATTGGGCAGACGCCAAATCTCAGAAATCTAGATCTTTATAAAAATTCTCACCTGGAAGAACTTTACATGGGAAATGAATGTCAAATGCTCACCAACCTCAACATTAGTCATTCAAAGTTGAGAACCCTTGACCTTGGACTGACTCCAAATCTCGAGAGGTTAGATCTTGAAAAATGTTGTAATTTGGTAGAACTTCTCCCTCCCATTGGTGGTCTGAAAAAGCTTGTTCACCTATACTTACGTACTCTAGGGTTTGAACATTTTTCGTTTGAGATAAAGAACTATACTTCTTGTAGTGTTGATGAATCACTTGAGGAATATACTTGTAGTGTTGATGAATCACTTGAGGAATATACTTCTTGTGTATTTGAGGATTACACTTCTTGTAGTGTTGATGAATCACTTGAGGAATATACTTCTTGTAATGCTGATGAACCACTTCAGGATTATACTTCTTGTGTATTTGAGGATTGCACTTCTTGTAGTGTTGATGAATCACTTGAGGAATATACTTCTTGTAGTGTTGATGACCCACTTGAGGATTATACTTCTTGTGTATTTGAGGATTACCCTTCTTGTAGTGTTGATGAATCACTTGAGGTTGGCCCTTTAGCTGAGTTGCATCTGAGTGTGAAGTCTGTAGATAGCTGCCTACTTCATCCCGAAAATAGCTTGCCAAAGTTTCAGTTTAGTTGTTACTATGTAGAAGGTCGACCTTCATCCATTGGAAATGTTGAGATGCTTATTTCTCTAGGTATGTGTGCTTGCACAAATCTGGAGACGTTTTCAGGAATTATTTGTGGGTTACGATGTTTAAGAAGGCTTGAACTCAAAGGTAATATTATAGAGGTGCTCAAGGATCTTGACAAGTTAGAATGTCTCGAGGAGCTAAGTTTTTCATCTACAGAGATTATGTATCTTCCAGATAGCATTTGTATGTTGAAAAATCTGAAATCTCTCCAAATTATTTCATGTTTTCTTCATGGGAAGTTACCTGAGGATCTTGGCCAATTAGAATGTTTAGAGAGTCTAGATTTGTCAGATACAAATATTGAACATCTTCCGGATAACATTTTTATGTTGAAAAATCTGAGATATCTCAATCTTAAATCGTGTTCGGATCTTGAAAAGTTACCCGAAAATCTTGGGCAATTAGAATGTTTAGAGAATCTATATTTGTCAGATACAAATATTAAACGTCTTCCGGATAGCATTTTTATGTTGAAAAATCTAAGATATCTCAATCTTAAATCGTGTTTGCTGCTTAAAAAGTTACCCGAAGATCTTGGCCAAGTAGAATGTTTAGAGGATCTAGATTTGTCATATACAAATATTAAATGTCTTCCGGATAGCATTTTTATGTTGAAAAATCTTAGATATCTCAATCTTAAATCGTGTTCGCATCTTCAAAAGTTACCCGAAGATCTTGGCCAATTAGAATGTTTAGAGAATCTGGACTTGTCAGATACAAATATTGAACGTCTTCCAGATAGCATTTGTATGTTGAAACATTTGAAATATCTCCAACTTAATGATTGTTCGTTACTTGAGAGGTTACCTGAGGAACTTGGCTGTACAGAATGTTTAAAAGAGTTGAGTATAGAAGGTACAAGAATAAGTGATCTTCCGCAGAGCATTCTTTTATTGAAAGGTCTACATATTGTTGGGTCAACAGAGCTTCTTGATTCGTGTGGGTTTACATCCGAGATGCAAACCTTACATGTATATGATCCACCCCCATTCACGATGGAACTATTGTAATAGGTACTCTCTCTCTGTCATTGATATATCATTTTACTTTGATTTGATTTTGACTTATAAATTAAATTTTTATGACAATGGTTGATATATCTGCCAAAAGTCAACAATCAAATATTCACAAAAATACAAGTACCATACATACTATTTAGAGTATCTTATTCATCATTTGTCTTTAAATGTGGAGCCTTATCGGAGTCCTAAAAACCGGCCATGCCATTTCTTTTACATGCATATCATAGAATATTATTGTTCATCATTATGGGTTTTGTGAAAATTAACGAACATCTAAAAAATTATTCCTTTTATCCCTTTTCTGCAATTGAAATTGTATTGGTGTTGCTATTTGTCCTAACATATGAACCAATTCCTGTAACCAGGAGTTCAGATGATCAGGAAGCAATCATCACACATCGTTATCATTGTGCATGTGCTGCTGATAGAACTGGACATGAAACATATCACAGTTCCTTGCGGAAATATTTGTTGGCTTTGGATCTAATCATGGGTAGTGATGGTATGTTAACTCTGTTTTCCCCTTGAATTAACATTGTTTACACATGTCAAAAAGTGATTTGATCATGTCATTGGTTTCTTCCAGACAGCTGCCATGGTGATATTGCACTGAACATGGAGGATGCATGGGACGCTGAAGTTGAGGATGGTGATATTGCTCTTAGGGACGAAGATGAGGTGGAAGAAGACATTGGAGGGTTTGATGATGAGAGATGAACCTGGGTTTAATGATCTTGGGAAGTAATTTTTAGTTGGTCACTTTTGGAACTACTTTTTGGTTTGTTATTTAAGATTCATGGACTTGTTATTGTTATGGTTTTAACGTTTCTTGTGGAACTACTTTTGGCACCTCACTATAGTTCAGTTCATAAAGGCAATCAATGTGGAAAAACAAGGTCCAAGACCACAATAATCCTAATCCATCAATAAAAAGTAGCACAAAATTCATATAATGTAAATCAAAGTCTTGAATCAAATGGTGTTAGATGCCTATTTAAATGCCGACGACTTTGCACAAAGTGAACATACAACCAGGATCAATCTGGAAGCCAAAAGTACAACTCGTGAAAGAATGAAGAAAGGAAGAATGACCAACTTGATTAGCTACAGAGGCATAATCAAACTTCATAAATAATTGCAAAAGAAGAAGTGGATGATGCGATGGTTGGGAGTTCGATGTTGGTGACTGCTGTGGTGTGCGACAGGTACGGGAGAGACGAGGGAAACATGAAAATAGAAGAGAGTGTGGAAGGCGACGCATGACGGTGGTGCCCTGGGCGGACGACAGTGGTTGCGGTGGGTGTCGCAGACGGACGGGAGCTGCAGTGGCAGGGATAAATTTGGCGGTGGGGTAAATTGGAGTTGGTGTTATTTTGTTGTGACGTTCTTTCTAGTTCTACTGTTCAAGGAAAAGAAATGGGTCGGGTCACGGGTGTATAATTGGGCCTGGTGGGTTAAGGAATAAGGAGTCCGATAAATTGGATCATCTTTTGGGTCAGATAGAACTTAGAAGGATTGGGCTTGGTGCGTGGGGCAACTAAATAGCTGAAATTTTTTTTCTTGTTTTTTATTCATCTTCTTTGTTTTTTTTTCTTATATTTAATTACTTTTCACGTCTTGAAATTAAATGTATATCTATTTTGAGAGTGTAGGTATCGATATGGATGAGCACATAGGACCAATATCCAATCCCAAACCGGTCCCTTACCGGAATCGGACCTTAAGCGGTACCGATTATGCATATATGATCTGGTACCGGTTCTATAATTTTGGAAAAAAATGGTATTGGGTATTCAGTTCAGGTACCAGGAAAACCTGGAAAAAGAAAAGGAATAAAAAAACAAAAAACAAGTCTTGAATATAAGCATGGTATGTTTCATTTCAAGCAAAGTACGAGTATTACACTGCATTCACGAATCAAAAATGCCATGAAACGCGTGATTTTGTTGAAGACCTTTTACAATACAAGATTCATCATGCACAAACGTGCAACACAACCTTGAATGTACTTTCTTGATAATTCTAATCGTTGTCACATGCACAACGTATTCTAATCTTTGACTTGCTTCCATCAATGAGAATTGTACCCTTGAAAAAACATTTTTCAGGTATTATTTATCATGCACGATGTACAAGCATGACTTGCTCTGTTGCTCACACTCTTCAAGTACATCTAGCATATGCGTGACATTCAAATCCTAAGTGAAGAAGAACTTTTTCTATAGTTAACAGTAGCAAGTTAATACTTTGTATTTGTAATATTGCCATGCAAAATTCAAACAACTCACCCCATGCCATGCAGCCCATGCTTTGTCAATGTTACTAAGCATGATAATTGAAATTTTTATCCGTGATAACTGACACTTCTTTTTATATCAATCAATCGAATTTGGTCCTAACTTGGTCTTGACACCAAATTATCTGGACTGTAACATCTTGTTTTTGGGCTAAAAGTTTTGGGCTTTTTGATAAAAATAAAAAAATTTCTTTAATTTGAAGTAAAATAAATCGAAACGAAATAAATTAAATAATGGAAGTGTGAAGAAATGATAAAAAAAATAAGAATGATAAAAATATTTTCATTAGTTGGTATTTGTAAAATAATAGAATTTTAATGTCTAGCAACGTATTTTTGTTAGCAGGGTCATTTGCGTCAAATGGTGAAACTTAGTTTGACTTGAGAGTGACCAACTTAGTGAGTTGGACTTAGTTTGTAGAGGTTAGGATGGAAAGGGACCGTTTTGGAAGTCAACTCTTGTTCCTTAGTTTGGAGTAATTTTAAAAAGGGTTTTATAAGGAATGACAAAAGTTGCTTAAGTAACCAAAGATGGGTTTATTTTGAAGTCATCTTCTTTCACATTTCTCCCCAATCATGTTTTCAGCCCTTCTCCCATTTGAACAATTTTCCACCTTAAATTCATGGTGTTTTGGTGATTGGAATTGGTTGATGAATCTCTACTAAAATCCTTCCAAAATATTGCATCAAATGTAATTCTTCTTCCTATGTTTCCCCAAATTCGAATTATGGTTTTGATGAAATGGTAAATCTGAATTTCATACTCTACTGGTGATGCTTATATGATTTTAATGATGTAGTTCCTTTTCTTAATCCATCTTCAATATCCAAACCAACAAATGGTTGTGAGATTAGAGTTGTTTTTATGAATTTCCTTAACCATCAACAAAATTCATAATTAAATTAGGTTGTTATTGTGAAATAATATGTGATTCTACTCCTTGATCCATCTCCAAGCTTTAACCAATAAATAGTTGTGAGATTTGTAAGATTGGAGGATGTTTGATGGGTTTTCAAGCCCTTGCCCTTCAAATTCGAATACAATGTTCCAAACAATGATATGAGCTTAAGCTTAAGGTTAAGTTGGTACATTTTCCTTCAATCAATGATGTGACAACCGATACAAAAGCGCCACCAACCGCCTTTAGAAATCGACATAGACAATAAAGTGTAACAGGACAATAATGTAATATTTCGATTTATTAATAAAGATATTCAATTACGTCCTTACCAAACACGATTATTACGACGAATAAGCTCAAAAATAAGTGCGCAAAAAGTCGGGTCATCTTATGAGCGGATTAACATATTCGGAATGTACACCTCAACGTGATTCCAAAAAAATATATATAAACTTCATAAAAATCTGACCCATCATGGAGGAGATATAGTTTTTACTATATATACAAATCAACCGCACATAAAAAGTTAAAACGTCTAAAATTACGAAGAGAACGCTCGACTTCTGGCGAAAGTCACTAAAAGGAAAAACGTAGTACTTCTCAAAGTAAGAATTTGAGACTAAGAATGTCAAAAACGAAACCCGTATGAGAGAGTTATGATTTTTGCAAAATCATCGCAGGTAGAAAATATAGTCTAAAAATGAAAGTTAGAATTAGCCGAAACGACCAAAAAGAAAGTTGTAGTACACGTCGATACCTACACATGTATATATGAATTGTCGAAAACGGAGCTCATACGCGGGAGTTACGGAATTTAGAAAAATGAATTCTCGTCGCGCACTATAAATAGAAAGCTTCGACAAACCCATTCTGCACACCTTTCTAATTCATTCTCTATCGAAATCCGAGCTTTCCTTGCCTCCCGAGTAGTCCCCGAGCTTCCGACGATCCAAAACTTCGTTTCGTGTATTCAAAGCACGCTTCAAGGGTGGGTTCACAGCCTCACATTTATGATTTTCAAATGTTTTACGTGTGGGGGGGGGGGGGGGATACATGTTATACTACTCACTTCTTTATAAATATTATATATTTTATAATATTAGTGATATAACTATGCTTAGAACGTTAGGATAATATTATACCTGGTGGATATCCTGCCCAACTTTTAGATAATATTATGAGTATTTGTTACGTTGACTAAACTTTAGTGAAAACATTATACATAGTCGTTATACTGGCCAATTTTTTAGGAAATAATATACCTAGTCGTTACCCTAGCCAAACTTTTGGATAACGTTGTACCTTGTTGTTACTATGCCCGAATATCCTACCAACGCAAACTATACCAACTTATATATATATATATATATATATATATATATATAGCACAACACAAACTATACCAACTTTTATATATATATATATATATATATATATATATATATATATATATATATATATATATATATAAAAAGCATAACACAAACAAACGAGAAAATCGAAACTATCAACACAGCTACGCATCAACAGTTGTTAAATGAGGCACTTTATTCATCCCTTAGCTAAATAACCTTTAGCTAACCCGGCCTATAATAGTTAAATATTAAGTGAGCAGGAAAGATATGTATAGATCTATACAGTACAGACACTCCACTTGCGGTTGCTAGCTACAACCATGGCTGTCAAGTCACAGCAGGCATAACTTTCTAAACCATGGTGACGGTTGATGAAGCTTCGATTCCAGGAAAGCAACGTCATAGCTAGATTATAGGAGCCCATTGTAACAATATTAGCCTAGGACCAAGTAAACTACTAATAAAAATAAGTCTAAGTAGCAAACTCATCACAAACTCATGGAAACGAGTTCAAAATATTAAAAATTAATTGAAACATCCCAAAAATACAGTTCAAAAATTTCATTTTTAAATCATTAATTAAACCAGAATGACTAAAAATCATTTATCAAAACATGAACCATAATATCTCCAATATCAAAACAGTACATCCATATCAATCACATGTTAAATAAATCAGAGTAAAACATATCGGGCGAAACATAAACGGTGTGTGCCATGCAGTCATCCCTAGCTATTCCTCTTGCTACCAGAAGTACCTGAAACCAAAACCGAAAACCGTAAGCACAAAGCTTAGTGAGCTCCCCAAACTACCACATACCATACACATATCACATAATCACATAACAACATATCGTTGGCCCCGTCCTACTACATCGGGCCCCGCCTGGCATCGACCTTGCCCGACATCAGACCGCATCCGACATCGGGCCCCGCCCGACATCGAGCAAAGCTTGACATACGTATGAGCATATCTACTAATACACATAAACATAAGCATAATCACCTAATCATGGACATATAAACATTCCTCGGGCCCCACCCGACATCGGACTGAGATCTGGAAAGCATACAAACATTCCTCGGGAACTGCCCCGGCATCAGACCGTAGTCCGGAAACATACAGATACAAACACATGCAAGAATCATAAAGACATCAAGCATACAAACATTCATCGGGTACTGCCCCGACATCGGGTCGAAACCCGAAAAACATATAAACCTACATCGGACCTTAGTCTGGGACATACTAACATACATAAATGGGTCGGCATTGGTGCCT